AGCAGCTGTTCCATTGGGTTTATCAAGCTCCTGTGAAGCCTCAGCAGAGGGCATGCCTCCATAGGGTTTGTCATTGCCTTTGCTGCTCAGCATCTGCCATGCAATTTGTCACATTACAGCCATTATTTGGAGTCCTGCTGACACACTCGTTCTGAGCAACCAGAATTCTGTTCAGCAGGGTCCACTGCCAGGATCTAAAGCTGAAACTGAGAAGGTGACATTACAGAATCAATGAGGAGGATCTTGTTTGTTACTGAAGTAGAAAATCCACTTTTCACCTTAGTGGAATAGCACACTGTACAATGGAGTCTTGCTGGTGGAAAAAGCCCAAACACCTGCAGATAGGTTGGAGAGGTTCATAGGTTCATAGTAGGAGAACTGAATTCGTACAATTTTTCTGAGGTAGCTGGAGAGCTGCATCCTCACAATACCTCTAACAGTGATTGAAAGATACAGGAACAGGGAATGATGCAGTAGTTTTGGTATGACAAGGGTGAGCATAGCTGCTCTATGGGAAATGAACAGCTCCAGATTGAAGCACAAAATTCTGTAGATGAGTAGCAGATGGCAAATGAAGGCATGTGAATACGTGCCTCCCATATTAAGCAAGGCTGATACTTTATTTATGATTTTTCTTCTGTTTTTACAGGTTTTAGCATTGATACCTGTTCCTTTTAGCCATTCACAAAGAGTTAAAGATGAATGAGAATTCACAAATTGTTCTCTCTTATCTGCAAGTATTGCATTCCATTAGTGCTTACCACATTTTGTGGCATGAAATCTCACAGGAATAGGCCAAAGCAGGCATAGCTCTTCCATGCAAGTTTGAACACACATGCATCCACAGCTGTTGAGAAGCCCTGTGAGTATTGCATTCTCTTCATATAGACTTGCTGTGTGGAAAGAACATGGTTTTAGGTAAAAGGATTAATACAACTGGCCCAATTCATAAATATTTCTGATTGTGGTTAGAAGAATTCATAGTTAGGAGTGCACAGCCATTTTAAGGGTCCTATGGTGTTTTCTTCAGAGCCCAAGGAGACAAGGCGATGGTCATCTAAGCAGCTTCCCTCAAGTGTGATTTCCTATATGGATCAGAAAAGCAGAAAGCCTAGATTCTGTCGGCTCTTACACACATATCTGCTTTTATCTTTGGACTCTCTTTGGAGTCAAGCAGGTGAAATTTATAGCTGATGTTTATCCAAGGCATAAACCCAAATTAATGCTTTTGGAACAATGTGTTCTTGTTCCCATTCACGTAATGAAATTTGTCTCTGACTTGAATGGGAACAGTGCTGGGCTCTCTGCAACTACTGATTATGCATGTCAATATTGGGCTGCATTTGAATTATGCTGTATTATGCATAAGAATAAAGTATCATGGAGTTGTGAGACACAAGACAACATAATTACATGGACTGCAAGAGAGACAAAGCAAAACACACACCATATACTAATGGCCCATCTCAGTCTTGCCTCATTATATCTGGACCTTTATTTACTAAATTAGGAATTATTTAAAAGTTAAATCTGCGTTTATTTTTTTTTTTACAATTATGGCTTTGTTCTGAAAGTACATACACTGAGAAGCCCTTGTTGACATGACTGAGCAGGATATTGTATTTGATTAAATTCACTTTGGAGACTCGTGATGCCAATTGCTAACACGTTTGCTGTCCCAGTTGAAAATCCAATATCAGCATGAGCTTAGATTAATACCCATATGTTGCTCCTGGGTGAAGAAAACATTGCCACCAAGTACTGGCAAGCTACAGGAGGCTGAGATGTGGTTTGCTATTAGGGTTAGGTAAAGGAAGCTGCTTGATATTTTTCTGCTTACATTCATTCAAACGGATATGAGAAAAATTTCCCACCCTGTGTCCACAGCAGCATGAAAGCAATATTTGAAAAATATTGTTATCAGTGTCTGCAAAAAATAATCATAGATAGCGTGAGCGCTATTATTATCTGAGGCAATATCAATATTACGTGTATTTATTTTTAAGGTAGGAAAACAATCTGAGACTTGGTTCATAAATGGAAAGGTGGCACTGAGGTACCAAGAGACCAAGGCAATTTAACACAGAAAATGCAGGAGACAGAAACAAAGCCCCAGTGCTAACATCTAAGTAGAATCTACCTGCTCAGAAATAACAAAAACCTATACCTGACATACCATTATTATGATATAATCCAGATTTTTTTTAATCTTCAGTGCAAGATTCCTCAGCAGGTTTTGTACTTTCTTATAGGAGACCTGGATTTCCCATGATCAAACTTGAGGTCCAAAATGAGCAGTTATATTTCAACAGATTTCTTCAAAGCAAGGCCCTTACTATGCTAGCAACATGAAGCTCCAGGTTAAATATCTAAGTTGTGCCATGGTCCAGCGGTGAATCAACTTGGGTGGTAGGTAAGGTTACCAAATAGGTGTTTTGTGGCAAGGGGCAAGTCAAACTGGTGTTAACAGAAATAAGGTTGATACAACCTGGCAGGCATATGCAACAAGTGTCTTATATTTCAAAAAAAGGTATACAATCTCTTGCAAAGCAATCTCACACAAACAGATGTATTATGACCAGCTAATGACTGACTTGCTATCCACAGAAAGCTCCATTAAGCCTCTCCTGCTGCCTGTACTTCATCTTTATGTCATTATAAATACTGACAGCTTTTCCATGATATAATTACATGTTTGTAGATGTGGTTTCAGAAGTTCACAAGAACCTGAAAATAAAGCCAGCATTATAGGCGATTACCACAGTGTTTATTGTTCAGTGTAATGTATGTAACATTCCTCAATCAATGTTCTGTTTCTTAACATGTCAGTTATTAATTACAACATTTTCAAAAGAATCAAGATAGAAAAGATCTTCATAACAGTCTCAGTATTATTGATGGGCATCTCCAAGCTCAATACTAAGTCTGTAAGAGATCCACTGCAGAACCAAGGCGGTTCATACTGAAGCTTCAGCATGCATTGTAAATCTGCTGTTAGCTTATCCAGTGTTTACAGCAGTTACAGGGAGAGAAGTCAGAGCCCTGTTCTGCTGACATCTTGTGTTTTCCGAAGTCCTGGTTTTGCAGTACCAGGATTCTATCTCCCACCAAAAGATGACATGCTTTCAGTACTCAGGTAGCATTCTTTCCTCCTGATGAGTTTCCATGTTTATTGTTTGTGTCAGTGTTGCAGAGTTACACATACAAACAACTGGCCAGCAAAACAGTATCCAAAAGCAAAGAACTGGGCTCACCAAGAAGGCTGTGTCTTCTTCCTCCTGCTGCAGGCAGGAAGGCACAGGCAGGGCTTGGCCTTACAGGGGGTGTTTGGATATCCAAATCTGTCCGGCTCCGAAGTTGCTCACATGTGCTGTCCTCTGGGGTCTCTGGATGTGGGCTGTTTTTATCACATATAGATTTTAGCTAGTGGATTTCATGAAGTCTTGGATAAAAGGGACAGTTAGTTAATCTTACTGAATAGAAATGTCAGTATAATTCACTAGGGAGGGCAAGCAGGTGCTTATTGTGCTGTAAGGGTGGTTCATTCTGCGACTATGTTTTCTAATATCTCCCTTGTTACATGGAAAAGAACATCATATATGTAGTATCCAATAAAACAAGGTAATCAAATGCAATCTCCCTGTAATGATTGCAGTACAAATATCTGACAGAATTTCATAGAAGACAGGAAATTGAGAGAGACTGTAAATATCAAGCAGACGGAAAATTGACTCCTGTGGGAACTGCATGATTAGAAGCTTGGGCAGATATGGATAGATATCCAAGCTCCACAAATGATTGCTGGAGTTAGCAAGAAGCAATGTAACACGTAGTGAGTGGGTGAAGGCCAGAGGCTGACATGCTGCAAGAGACAGATTGAAGTCAGTAAACAGGATTATTTGCTTCATTTTGGGCATTGTGAAAGATTTTGGCCTTCTTCAGGAGGGTGGGAAGGAAGCACTTCTTCCTGGTTCGGTATAGAATGACTGTACTGTTATTCTAATCTTAAAATTCGAAATGATGCTACTGAGAAAGCTAAGTCGCACAGATGCGTGGTTTTACTCTATGCCTTCAGCACAGAAATTCAGGTGAGACCAAGGAGCGGGCTCTTGGAAGACCAGAGATGCTTGTTGCACTGGAGCAGGGGGAAGCAAGGACAAACAGTGGTGGTAAGAGCACTGAGTGCCTACGGAATGGGTGGTTCCAAAAGGCTTCACTAATGTCAGCCATTTCGTTTTTAACCTGAAATGCACTGAGCCCTAAAGTTGCTGGTGCTGTTCACTTGGGCAGCCTCGTTGCAGAAGCCCTGTATTGCAATGTGGTCTGGGGCTTCAGAGCTGGAACTTGGGCAACTAGCGACTCGTGGTATAGGAACAGAGCAGACTTCAGTGAGGTTCTGAAAGGAGAGGATCTGCATCTGCTGCTGATTCAGAAGCAGAAGCCCCTGAGCGATGCCCGCACACCGCCCCGGTGCAAGCAGGCTGCTTGCGTGTAGGGTATGGGTGCCGAAGGCAGCGTAGGAAATTGCGAAATGAAATTGTACGCGGTGCTTACATTGCTGATTCCGCAAGTCGCTGATACAAAGTGTGTTCTGAAAATACGAACCAATGCACAAACCAGAGAGCCCTTTAATTTAGTTGCTTGGGGCATCTAACGTTTTCAAGACTTGTCCCGTAATATTCGTCACTGCAGTCTTCCCCGTCGAAAAGCGTTAACAGTGAGCGCACGGAGTTAATGCTGTCAGGGGGACTCCGGTACCTCCGGGAGCTCCGTCAGAGCGGCCCTCAGCTCCTCCCGCCCCGCCCACTCCCCCGAGCAGCACACCGTGCCCGGCCCGCGCCCCGGGGCTGCACTGCGGCCCCTCCCCTCCGGGCTCCCCGACCCGGCACTGCCCCCGGCCCGGCCCGGCCCGGCCCGGCCCGCCGCCTTCTCCTCCCCTTCCCCTTGCGGTCCCTCCTCCCGCCGGCGCCGGCCGTGCCCGCCTCGCTCCCCGCCCCGGCTGAGGGGCGACCGCCACTGCTGCTGCCTTCGCTGGCGGCGGCTCCGCTAAGATGTCCGAGCGCGGCGGCTTCTACCGGCAGGAGCTGAACAAGACGGTGTGGGAGGTGCCACAGCGCTACCAGAACCTCACGCCCGTGGGCTCGGGCGCCTACGGCTCCGTGTGGTAGGTACGGGGCGGCGGGCGGAGGCCGGCAGGTGCCGGGAGCGGGGCGGCTGCCCTGGGCCCCGTTCCTCGGAGCCGCCCGGCGCGGGGACGCGATACCGCAGCGAAGGCCGCGCGCGGCGGCCGAGGGGGGAACGCGCGGAGGGGGCCGAGCGGCGGCGGGCAGCGGCTCGGGGACGCGGGGGGCGGCGGCCGACGCTTTCCTTTCGGCGCGCGGCGCCCTCCCCCACGGCCGGCGGCGCCCCGGGATCGGGCCGCGCCTCGTCGTAACCCGGGCAACAGCGCCCGCCGAGCGGAGCCCGCCGAACGGGGCGGCCGTGCAGCGCGGCGCTGCGCTGCGCTTCGACCTTTCGCGCCGCTTGCGCCTCGGTGACACCTGCGGGCATCTTGCACAGTCACGGTGCGCGCGGGCGGGAGGCGGACGGCGCTCTGCCTGTTGCTGCATTCTGCCCTTGCCCAGCCCGGAACCGCCGGTCCCGGGGAGCGCTGCTGCCCGAGGTTTGGGCTCGGGAGTCATTGTGTCGTGTAAGAGTTTATCACGCCGCTTATCGCACGGCGCTCCTGGGTTTTATTACAATACCGTGTTTGCGGTCCCAGCGCAGGGCTGGATGTATTTGATGCGCTGAGCTGTCTTTTAAAACGCCCTGAGCCAGATTTTGAAAATGTCTGTGCTGTTTAAAGAGTTTGTGAGAAAGGATCGTGCTGCTATTGTAAGCCAAGTGGAATTACGTGAAAACCCATCAATAGTGGGCCTTTAAGTAAATTCTGTGAAACTCCACCTTTTGCAGTTCGCAAAACTTTTCCCTCTGTACAGTTAGGTGCCAGAACATTCATGGAGTTTCTTATTTATTGCTTTCTTCTCTAGCTCTGTGAAATACCCCACGTGTAAAGTAGGAATATTTATGTAAGAGCCCCCCTCCAACCAGTAGTAGCACCCAGGGCTTGAGAATTCTCTCTTAATTCTTCATTATTTTGGTTTGATGCTTGCACAGGGGAAAGCTGGGTCAGCACCATGGAGTGCCACCTGCCGCTGTGCAGTCCTGGGGCCATCTGATTCTTGTGAATAGTTTCACAAAGATGTGGTTTAGTTTAGATCACAAACATCTTCCTTTTCTCTGAGATTTTACTGAGGAGAAGCTGGATATGCCGTACAACAGTAACTACAGTCATTTTCCAATTAAACCTGTGTTTCTGATTACTTTTCCTGTGGGGGGAAAACCCACTCTGCTGGCTTTTGTAATGAGATGTCAGGGCTTGAGAGATTGCAGCGGAAATGAAAACATGCGGTGGTTTGCTCGCAGCACAGCTGGAGTTTTGTTGTGGCTGTTTTTAACAGGGTTACTGTTGTTAATTTATGGTTGGTTTGTTGTTTTTTTTTTTCTGCCTGTGAAGCAAATTGTGGTATTTTGTCAATGGAGATGCCCACGAACTGGCATATGAAGAGGAGGGTGCTATAGGAAATGAGGATGCTGTAGGAAAGGTCCACTCTAAAATACCTGTTTAAGCACTGAGTGCAGTAATGAAATATTACTCTACGTTAATAGTCTTGTTAACATTGATGAGGTACGAGCCCAAATAGGTCCTGAATGTGAGGAAAAGACTCATGTCTCAAAAAAGCCATTTATTTTTAGTCCCTATTGAAATTGATTTTTTTCCCTCTATCAGCTCATGCTTTACCCAGGAGACCCATAAGGCACAACCATTCCCCTGAGAAACAGCTATGCTGCTTCTGTGAATAATGGTACTCCTATTCAGGAAGATGTCACAAAGCGTGTTTAAGTCTTACAGAAACCACTGGAATTAAACAAATTCTTAAGTGCTGTGCTGAAAAGAAGCCAAAGTCCTGAACTCCAAACACTGGATTTAGGACAAGAACAAAGTTCCTGTTTTCTACCTCAGTGAAGCTCAGTTTTTGGTTCTTCCCTTTCCTCTTGTACAGTAACTTATCTGCAAATCGGGATACTTGTGCAACCAAAGCAATATTTGGTAATAAGAAGTATAATGTAGATACTTGAATTTAAGCTAACTTGTGCTTATCCTCCTTTTGCTTGCAGCTGAAAATCAGTAGAGGAATTTGAGACAGAATGCCATGTTTTCGCCCAGTTTATTGACAATCTGTAAGCCCAGCTTTTGCTCTGGGCGTCAGCATTACCACCTGTCTGATGAGAGCTTCTTCATCTTTGAGCGATGTTTTGTTGTGCCCTAAGTTACGTAACACGGACAGCTATTTGTGTGGGGTTTTTTTAAAGGTTGTATGCCTCTTTTCGTGCCAGGTTTTCAACCTACTTAATTCCATCTCTGCCTGGGAGGTGCAGACAGCCCTCTGTGGTGTGTTGTCTCTGATCTCCCCAACAGGTTATTTCCCATTAGCATATTGAAAACGTTGCTTTCTGCCTTCTCAGGAAAGGACAGACCTTGCCTGATCAACAGAAGCACATGAAGGACTTCTTTCCAAACAGAAACGTGTGGTTTCCTCAGAGGCCTTTGCTATCTGAGGCAGTACAGTACTTCCTCTGTGCTGTTCTTTCCATACGCTTTGCCTTTCCTCATGCAGTCAGTCTCCTTTAGTTTCAACAGCATGCAATGCCCAGCACAAACTCAGGTTGCAAAAGTAGGAAAAGTAGGCTGCTGAGTGTGATGACATAGGCCTCGGATCAGGAAGTGGGTGAGCAGAGTCTCCCTGAAGTTGTGCACGTAGCACAGCACTTAAACAGGTCCCTCCACCCTGCTCACATGAAGGGCACGCTTAAGATCCATTACATTTTTGTCCTGGCTTATCTCCTGAACAGCTGGGGGTAGCTTAGGCTTTTGTTTTGCTTTGCTTTGCTTTGAGGTAGTCCAAGTGGAAAAATAGAAGTGGAAGACTTGAATCCTGAAGTTTAACCGCTTTTGCCCCCATCCACCCAGTCCTGTGGTTGCTGGTTAGGCTGTCACTCTGATGTGTTGAGGGCAGTACCTTGTGAGACTGGAATGTAAGATCACTGAGACCTTCTCCATCAAGGGTCTGTAAACAGGTGCTGAATCACCCATGCAAATTAAAAACAAACAAAAAATTCCGATATAAATTGACTACCAAAGCAAGAAATTACTTCATCCAAGGTTGTACTTGATGACTTATTGTATGATGTGCTATGATAATGTTTCTAAAGGGACTGACTGTGAGATTTCAACTATAAACTCACCTTACTGGAATTATGATATGTGTCCTTGTAACACTTCATGTTTGTTCAAATAGTGTGTGCTTAGGTAAGCTTTTAGTGTGGCAATAACACACAGCTCCTGTGTGTAAATACAGATGGAAACCAAAGATCTCTACAGGTTGAGGCAGAATCCCAGGCACATCAGAGCTAACTGATTTCAGTGGACTTGCTTTCGGCTGCTTCTCATGTGGATTAGATCTTTTGTTTCCAGTGTATATACAGGAGGTGAGATTAGTCCTAAATATGATTGTATTTTATGGAAACATTAAAAAAAAATTAACACATTAACAATGTTGCTATCCGTGCTTCAGAAGATGGATCAGGGAAGGAAGAAGACAGGATGGTGTATCTGAGCACTGGCCAGGGAGGCAAATACTTGAGTTGGGTGAAAGTGACTTTGTTGGAGTACAGGTGGGGTGCAGAAGGCATGTCATTGCTTTTGTCCTGTTTCATTCAGCAGGTTTTCCAGTTACTCAAACAGTGTAGATACTGACTTTGGAAAGGAAAGGGAAGTGGTACTGAGTGGAGTTGAGGTTCATATTTCAAATAAAAGTGTCTAAGAGTGTATTCAGTGAAAGATATTGAATCAGGAAAAAAGTGTTTGCAGAGAAGAGCAAGAAGGGCTGCAAATAACATCTGTAGGTAGGATGCTCTTGCTAAGCCACAGGAGTAGTAAGGGAGAAGATAAGAAACATGCATGAGGAGTGTGGTGGAATTAGGTATAGGATAGGTGAAGAAATGTAAGCTCAAGAAGTATGGAAGTCCTCCTTGTGTTTTGCTGGTTTTCTTCTAGGTGGAATTAATGAGAGCTTTCTTAAGGAGTAGGGCTACATGAGATGTGAAAGAGGTGAGGAGCATAAGAGGAGCGAGTTGTGGCAGGAAGACAGAAATACAGAATTACGGCTTTCTATATATATGGCTGTAGGAATACATCAGCAGAATAAAAATTCTCTGTAGAGGGTCTCCTCTGTCTCTACTTCAGTATAGTTTGCTATAATATGCACCTTCCTGACCACTCAATCGAGCAATGGCATAGCTAACAGCTTTCATCGTCACAGATATTGGGATTGCTATGGCCTAGGATGTATGGTCCCTGTTCCAGAGTCCTACAGCCTGATTAGTTCCACACAGCTTCCCAGGGAGCTGTCTGCAATTTCAGAATCCCCTATTAGCCAGTGGGTGCCAAAGAGGCCCCGTCTTCGCTGTGTGTGTACAGTTGGAGGAAGGAGGGGAGGGCGTTTCAAAACCCCTACGTGACCTGAGAACAAAGAGCTATCGTTTAATATTTTGGGCAGCGTGCAGAGAGAAAACAGGAAATGTGAAGGAGCAGTGGGGGAGAAATAGAAAAAAGGACAGAAATGTCAATTGGATCTTGTCTCTTTAGGTTTAAGTAATGTATTTGAAAGCACTAATATTTTTCATATTAAACTTCATATTGCGTTTCACTGGGAGTGTTTCTGGCATGAGGTTCTGAGCCTGCAGTTTGTAGCTGCCTGCAGTCTTTAACAAAATGCTGGATAGAAAACATTTGTCGTTAGCATTGTATTGGCTTTGTGGCAATTGACTGATTTTCTTGCTTAAATACTGGCATCGGGCTTATAGGCTGTCTAAAACACATTATTATTTTAGTGTGCATGAGTTGGCTGCAGATGCAGAGAAGCTAACAGCTTATGGCCCCATCCTTTTGTTTGTTTCTCTCATAAGGGTATTTTTAAATGCATCACTCCCACTGATGTAAGCTATACTATCTATAACTCACCTAGAAAAGTGTGGCTGCTCCTCCGTAAAGTTATTTGAAAA